TCATAGGTGGAGAAGTTCACGGATTAAAGTCAAAATGAGAAAGTGAGATCAAGGTGAAATGTTCATAAAACCTCATCAGGATATGGAACTGCTCAGCAAGCCATACAGAAAAATCTAAATTTATTCAATTTAAAGGGCTGCCCTTAGATAAGAGGCGCTTTTGGTTTTACAAAAAGATGGTCATAATAAATAGTAGTTACTGCTTTGTTTTAAATGTCCCTGCTTAAAAACTCAAGAAACCCACCAATGAAAGTTTTAACTGAACCACAAGAGCCCATGGATGGAAACCACTGGCCATCAGCAGAAGCCCAAAGAGGTCAACCACTCTGCCCAGGATCCCACAGGCAGTTATTAGCAGAACTTGGACAAACCAAACTAGGTCTCCAGTGCTCCTGAAATTCTTTAGGAGAGTTACCTTCCCTGACGAACAAAACAACAAAAGGAAGAGCATTCAACTGGTAATCAATCTGGAGAGCTGGCTCTGACCTCAGGGCTTCTGTGGCGTTCACAACTCAGTTTACTCACAATAAAATAAAGGAATTAGGCCAAGATAATTTATAATTGTCTATTTCTACTCTGACGCTGCTCCTCCAAACTTCCCATTTGTGATGGGGACAAAATGGAAGGAGATAAGTGGAAGAGGGAATAAATGGAAGATGTTGGCTTGGGCTGGCAATGGCATGGTTTTTCCCGTAGAAACTATGATTAACAGATTCGTGGTACCCTAGCTGCAGAAATTAACACAAAAATGAATCAACTAAAAAAAAAAATCACATGTATTCTGTTTACCAGGGCCATAGACTTCAGAAAGAATGTTTTGGTATAAATAACCTTGAGGATAATTCCCAGAAAATTAAGATGTATGACTTGGAAAAAAAAATCCTGCAAGGTCTACTTCATCACTTTTTCATTCCCGTGTGTATAGCACCCTCACTTAACTATCTTTTCTGTTTCAAAGCAGAAAGTCTTCAGTGTTAGCTCCACCACCAACTTCTTCCTGTACCTTCAATGTTTCAGGGTATCTGCCTTCAAAATGTGTAAACCTGTAATTAGCTTGTACTGATTCTTTGGCTTGTTTTTAACCCCCCTTATAGTGTGAAAACTGGTCCTGATTCACCTTCACAATTAATTTTAGTATCAAAAAAGCCCAAAGCCAGGAACTTAATGGTTGTGAAACTCAAGGAGAACATTCTACAGACTTGAAGCCTTTCAATCTCTGTTTATAAATAACAATTTGATCTACCAGATTATTGCTTGTCTTTTTCTTTCTTTCTCTCTCTCTTTCTTTCGCCATGTTTTATTCTGAAGTCTACATAAACCCTTGATTGAAAAAGATCTTTCTCTCTCTGAAAAAGTTACCACCTCTGACCAGTGAGTCAGCCGTAGAGGGCCAAGCAGACAGGCCTAGCCAGCCATGCAACCAATCGGCCCTATACATAAACTATTGGGTGACTCATGGCAGCTGGAATTCCAAACACACATGAGAATGTAGACATCCAACCTGAAATTCTGCCTTTCAAACCAGTTCTTATTTCATTAAAAAAAAAAAAAATTGGAAATTTCGTGTTCTTTATTTAGGGTAACAGGTTACCCTCCTTTGGGCCACATCCCATTTTATTCCTTCTCCCTTTACCGCTTGTTCTTCCCTCCTTTGCGTTGGAGTCCACAGGCAGCTGACCCCCTGCACTCCCCCAAGAGCATCAATGTTAGTACCTGCATAAAGTGAGACTCACTGGGAGGCTACGAAGCAAACAGACGGACCAGAGAGGATGCGTGCAGGCACTCCACCAGACATGTACCTGTCTTCTCCTTAGATGAACACTCCCAAGATGCCTACTTTCTACCAAGACTGTGTGCCCTCCAGTTTCAGTTTGCCATGATTTTTTAGAAAAAAGTAAACAGCATTAGAAACAATCATGAATTTACCAAGTCCTGATAAGTGGCTCCTTTCTTTAATAAGCTGGTCCACTTTCTTTCTTGGGAACAGTGTCAACCTCATTAGTCTACACATTGCTAGAGTTCATTACTTTCCTTGTTTAAAACTGAGAAGAGGCGCTGCATATATCTCAACACCTTGTCATGCACAGCAAGCTCTCAAGAAACATTTAGTGCACTGAGACAAATACCCAGAAGCTAGGAGCATCATCACTTTTTTTTAGAATGACAAGAAAGCACAGAACTACCACGATATGTAAAAACAAAACCCTAATAGTCATGATCAAGGTCTTAGCAAATTAACATACACTTAGGGCCTGAGACGTCAAGGGTTGGAGTGAACTGCAAAATAATACTCAAAAATCCCCATAACCTTCCCTTCCAGTTAATTTAAAAATTAAAATTTATAACATTCATTTGTGATAAAACCTCTCCATAAAGTGGGTATAGAGGGAACATATCTCAACATAATAAAGGCCATATTGACAAACCCCACAGCTAACATTATACTCGATGGTGAAAAGCTAAAAGCATTTTGTCTAAGATCAGAAACAAGACAAGGATGCTACTCTTGCCACTTTTGTTTAACATAGTATTGGAAGTCCCAGCCACTGCAATTAGACAAGAAAAAGAAATAAAAGGAATCCAAATTGGAAAGGAAGAAGTAAAACTGTCACTGTTTGCAGATGACATGAAACTATACATAGAAAACCCTAAAGATGCTACTAGAAAACTACTAGAGCTCATCAATGAATTTAGTAAAGTTGCTGGATACAGAATTAACAATATACAGAAATCTGTTGGATTTCTATACACTAACAACAAACTATTAGAAAGAGAAATTTAGGAAACATTCCCATTTACCACTGCAGCCAAAAGAATGAAATACGTAGGAATAAACCTAACTAAGGACCTGTACTCGGAAAACTGTAAGACTCTGATGAAAAAAACTGAAGATGACACAGATGGAAAGATATAGCATGTTGAAGGATCAGAAGAACTAACATTGTTAAAATGGCCATACTGCCCAAGGCAATCTACAGATTCGATGCAATCCCTATCAAAACACCAACGGCATTTTCTACAGAACTAGAACAAATAGTTTCAAAATTTTTATGGAAACACCATAAAACTCCTAGAAGAAAACATAGGCAGAACACTCTGATATAAACTGCAGCAATATTTTTTTGGATCTGTCTCCAAAGGCAAAGGAAAGAAAAGCAAAAATAAACAGGCTTTTGCACAACAAAGGAAACCACTGACAAAGCAAAAAGACAACCTACTGAATGGGAGAAAGTATTTGTGAATGATATAACTGATAAGGGATTAATATCCAAAACATATAAATAGCTCATTCAACTCAATATCAAAAAAAAACACAACAGATTAAAAACTGGGCGGAAGATCTGAACAGACATTTTTCTAAAGATATACTGCAGATGGCCAACAGGCACATGAAAAGATGCTCAGCATTGCTAATCATCAGGGAAATGCACATCAAAATCACTACGATATATCATCTCACACCTGCCAGAATGGCTATCATCAAAAGGACCACAAACAACAAATGTTGGTGAGGATGTCGATAAAAGGTAACCCTCGTATGCAGCTGGTGGGAATGTAAACTGGTCCAGCTGCTGTGGAAAACAGTATGGAGGTTCCTCAAAACTAAAACCATATGATCCAGTAATTCTACTTCTGGGTTTATATCCAAAAAGAAAACACTAATTTGAAAAGATACATGCACCTGCCCCTCCAATGTTCACAATAGCATTATTATAGCCAAGATATGGAAGTGACCTAAATTAAGTGTCCATCAACAGATGAATGGATAAAGAAGATGTGTATATATACACATATATACATATATATAATGTAATACTACTCAGTCATTAAAAAGAATGAAATTTTGCCATTTGTAACAACATGGGTGGAGTTGGAGGGTATTACGCTTAGTGAAGTAGGTCAGAGAAAGACAAATACTGTATGTTATCACTTATACGTGGGCAAAAAACACCAAAACAAATAAATGAATATAACAAAACACAGACACATATATAGAAAACAAACTAGTGGTTACCAGTGGGGAGAGGGAGAGGGCAGGGCAGAGACAGAGGCAGGGGATTAAGAGGTACAAACTACTATGTGTAAAGCAGATAAACAATAAGGATCTATTGTACAGCACAGAGTACAGAGCCAATATTTTATAATTTTAAATGGAGTATAATCTATAAATATTTTGAATCACAATGTTGTACACCTGACACTAATATATTGTAAATCAAAGACATCTCAGCCAAAAAAAAAAAGTAAAATTTATAAACCCAAATTAGACAAACATCAAATAGAGTTAAGGCATAATTTAACAAATTATTCTTGGCAACTTTATCAGTAATCATCTAGGGCTATGCTAATACAGTAGCAACTAGAAACATATGGCTATTGAACACTTTAAATGCACCTAGTCTAAATTGAGATGGGCTGAAATTAGTGTAAAATATACACTGGATCCCAAAGACTTATTATAAGAATAAGAACAGAACATATCCTGTTAAATACTCTTAAATTTTGATTACTTGTTAAGACAGTAACAGTAGACATTTACTGGGTTAAATAAAATATATTGTTAACATAATTTTCTACATTTCTTTTTACTTTTTAATGTATTCTACTAGAAAATTACGTATGTGGCTTCATTATATTTCTACTGGACAGCCCTGATCTAGAGTCTATTTTGAGTTATAAAGTTATATTTACTTTAAAAATATTCAACACTAATAATATCCATTGCAAATCCATCATACTCACCTTTTGAATTTTGTACTTTTTCATGTAAGGTATAAATTGAAACAAAAATCCAGGTAAACAGAAGAAGAAATAAAGGAACTCATGAACTATGAGGGATCCCCATGTTGCAATCTGGAACTTTGTGTAATTATTCAACATGTAGTTCCAAGCATTTTTAAATGGTTCCTGCAGAGGATTCTCAGGTAAAAGTGAGTCTACATACTCCACAGCCAAGGATGCTGAACTAAAGATGTTGACACTTTCATTCGTCGCCATTTTTCAAAGCTCTGCAGACAGCCTTATAACTCTGTAAATACAAATAAATAAGTAATAAGCAAGCTAGATAATGAAATTCCAAGAAAACAGGTTTTAAAATCCTTCTGATTAATTTTTAAAATAAGAATTACTAAAGGAGCACCAATCTCACAGGTCCTAAACATATGATTAAAAACACAAGTCTACAGTGTGTCCTCACCACCTCCATTTGTAGATACGATTTAAAAGCCACATGCTAACTTTCAAGAGCAGGATCTAAAGAACAATAGTGCGTAAGGCGTTTCAACTCATCTTTAAAGAGACTTTTCAGCACGGTCTCCAAGGAAAAATTTGTAATTTCAGAGTTGGGTTTAGAAGTGTCACTTAAAACCAAAAGAATCTATAAAGAAAGTCTGCCAAATGTGACTACATACAAATTAAATACTTATAACTGGAGAATAAAAAGACAATTATACATAAAGTCAAAGATCAAATGACAAACTGGAATAAATATTTCCAAGGATTATGACAAAGGGCTACTTTAAACGTGTGCTTTAGAAAAAGCCTAAGAATCTGGCAGAAAAACGACAAAAGACCATTCACGAAGCTTCACAGAAAAAATAAACACAAATGCTCACTAAGCAAATAAACAGTTCAGTTTTGCTCACATAGGAAATGCATACTAAAATAGAATCTTTACGTTTCATAGTGCCCAGCACCCAGTCACAATATGGGGAAACAGGCGCCACTGTACGCTGTTGATGGGAGGATCAGCCTATCTTTGAGGAAAAATTCAGTATTTATTACAATTCAAAATGAATACACTTTTTGACCCAATAATTTTCTCACTAAGACTGAAGGAAGCATTGCTTATAATAGCAAAAACAAAGAGAAAATAGAAAAACATGTTAAGTCCATCAACAAGAAACAAATTAAATTGTCAGGTCCTTCCAAAGACACACAGCCGCTTGAAAGGAGGAAGACCTACATGTTCTATGTACAAAGATGTCTAAGATATGGTATAAAGCGAAACAGCAAGTTGCAGAATGTACAGCAAGAGCCCCACTTACGTCTCTGTGAAAAGGCTGTATGTTTCGTCTATGCACTTTTATGCATATGTGCATACTACACACACATATAGAAAATGTACAGAAAATGCATGTGCATACACGGTGGGGGAATTGTGGAAAGGAGAAAAATTTTCCTTTCTATTCTATACCTTCTTACATTTTTTTCTATGAGCATGTTTTACTTATATGATAAATAGCTTAAATAGGTCAGCAAATTAAAAAGGAGAAACTTATGAAGAATATCTCTTTCCTAAAAAATATTCACTGCTAGACAATGAAGCAAGGCCCTCAACATTCTAAAGGAACCGGATTTCCACCCCAGAATTCGCTATCCAGACAAATTATTCAGCAGGTGGGTGAGTGGTATTTTTCAGCCACGCAGTCTCCAAAAGTTACCACTCCAAAGTCTTTCTCAGGAAGCTACTAGAAGTTGTTCACCGCTAAAACCAAGAAAGAGGGACACAGAAAACAGGAGATCCAACCAAAAGCCAAAATAATCTCCTGGAGGATAATGGCGGGAGACTGCAGTCAGTCTGGACAAAAGCAGTGCCCTTTGCTGCTATACCATGTAGTTCCCCTGATCGTGTGCTTTTAGGAAAGCAAGAGAGTAAACCAAAGAAGAGAACACCTTGAGATCCAGGACACATGGACCACCCCACCCCTGCCAACTCAAGAGAAAAGCAAAGGAAATTTTAAGGAAGACAGTGAAAGAAAGTGCCAGGATGACAACTGGATGGAAGGCCTAGAGAAGAGCAAATTCAGACTGGAGAAAAATGAAGATCTCCCAGAGGGACAACTCCAGGGAAAAATTGGAAAGGACAGATTATCTCCTATGATTGACCTTATAGAAAAGTGTACCATGGGAAGAATATGCAATAGGTGTAAAGAAAGTTAAGCAAATGAAAATAATAAGGCAATTATTAACTTTGGAGAAAAACAAAAGCAAAAAAAAAAGAAAGAAAAAATAACATGCATTTTAATGTTTAACTGTGAATAATTTTTACATAGGCATAATAACATAGTTTCTGAATGCTGTTTTAAGAAAAAATTGTAAACTAACCTTACCTTAAGATGGAAGGAGGGAAGGAGAGAGGATATTGGTGTAAGAGCACTAAACCTCATCTATCATGATAAGAAAACAGTTGCATAAATGTTTACAAATATTATATCCTCTTGTTGAATTGAACCCTTTGTCATTATATAACACCCTTTTGTCTCTTATTACAAACTTTGTTTTAAAGTTGATTTTTGGTAGGGTGGGTATAGCTTGGTTGTACAGTACATGCTTAGCATGCACCAGGTCCTGGGTTCAACCCACAATACTGCCATTAAAAAACAAAACCAAAAAACTAACTAAATAAATAAAAAGTCAATTTTGTCTGACATTAAAAAAAATTCACTGCTGTTCCTAATTTATGAACTATGATGGATCCCTCTAAGACCAAATATATTAAGCCTCAGAAGCACGCTTAACAATGCTTAAAACACCCCCTCCCCTCTCCCGCTCCCCAAATCGACCTCTTATCTTAGATGCTGGAAGCTCAGCCAGCTTCCTCAGGACTCTGAACTCACTTTGCATCGTTACTCGAGTCCCACTCATTCTCAAATGACTTACATCAGGGACTATCGTGTCACAGCCTGGGCTCACTCACCATCTCGTCTAAGTCCACCTGCTCCTGTGCCCTCATCCTGCCTCATCAAGAACTTGTCCCTCACTCACCCTTTCGTCTGTCCCTCTTCACCAAGCCCACCCCCTGAAGTTGAAAAACATCCTCAAGTCTTCCTCTCTTGAGAAGGTTTCCTGACTTCTCCCACCTCTCCCCCAAGCCACCGTCCCATTTCTTTTCCTCTGAACCAACCAACTCTGGTCTCAAGCCTCCGACTGCTTAATTCTCACCTATACAACTCACTCAACTACAGCTGACCTTTGATGGCACAGGTTTGAAATGTGCAGGTCCACTTACACTCAGTTTTTTTTTCAATAACTATATTGGAAAATTTTTTGAAGATTTGCAACAGTGAAAAAACAAATGAACCATGGAGCCTAGAAATAACCAAAAAAAGAAAAGAAAAAAGGTATGTCACAAATGTATCAATACATGTAGATACTAGTTTATTCCCACCTAGGCACAAAGCAAGTGATATTTAATATAAAATTAACGTGCTATATTTCCTCACTGTTCTATAACTTTGCTTTCAAAGAATTACATTACCATACAGAATGCCTCTCTCTCTTCTACCTGGAGAAACTGTACCAGCCTACCATCTCAGGTAAACGGTTTTTTAAAAGGTAGTGTCTCCAATACTGCATTATGAATAACTAAAATTATGCTGTAAAATTTTATAATGGTCATTCATTAGTTATAGGCTGGGCTACCGTGAAGCAATCGTATCGATTACACCAGGAGACCACAAAGCAATCGCACTGTGGCTTCTTTGTTATCAAAGCATGAATCCTTATACCTGCAAATAAATCTGAATGTTTTCCACATTATCTTTTCAGTTTTGATGTGTGGTGTTAGTAATCTGTGTGACACCTATAGTGTTTTGTATCTTATAAAGACAATGTCCATGTAGGTACTGACAGACCACTCATCTTGTAAACAGACGATGTAAACTTAACAGTATTAATAAATACAGTACAGCAAAGAGTAACTGTATTTTCTCTCCCTTATTTTTTTAACATTTTGTTTTCTCAACTGTATATATTATTGGTAAGGCTTCGATCAACAAGGCTATTCGTAGTTCAGTTTTGGAGGAGTTAAAGTTATGTATGGATTCTCAACTTCCCAGGGGGTTGGCATCCCTGAGTTGTTCAAGGGTCAACTGTATTTGCAGTCTGGCTCCCCACTCACACCAAAACTCCTTCAATCTCCTAAATTACAAGATAAAAATTGTTCCAATCCTCATTTTTCATGAGGTCATTCCCAAATCTGACAATGCTGAACCAACACCACTGACTAGCTATGTGATCTTGAGCAAGTTAAGTAACTTCTCTGAGCCTCAGTCTTATTATCTTTAAAATGTAAAGAGTAACAATAATAACTAGATGATGGAATCTTTTCACCACGCATGTGTGTATCCCATCACCACAATGCACACTTCAAATATCTTACAATTTTATTTGTCAACTATACCTCAATAAAGCTGAAAAATAAGGAATAATAAACATAAAAGTATGGTTCTTCTAATGGGTCTAAGAACTAATGCATGTGAAGCACTTACCACAGGACCTGACACACAGTAGCTACAAGAAGCGAACAATTATGAAGCATTATTTACATGCCACTGTGTTCTAGGGTGTTACATGCTCTGTGCATATTAAATACTTTAATCCTTACCACACTTTTCAAGGTGGGCAATTTTATTATCCCCATTTTACAAATAAAAAACTCAGGTGTAGAAAGATTAAGTAACTTTCTCGAGACAAAAACGCTAAGTGAAGGAGCCTGTATGCTCATCCATCGTGCTATCCTGTGATCCTAAATAACAAAGCACAAATAAATATTACAGTAAGAGTATTCCACACAGGCTGTCTTCATTTTCACACTGCCCATCTGTTCTCCAGCCATCACAACCTGCTTCCTATTCTAATCAATGCACTGAATTTACTCTTAATAAGTAAAATCACTAAGGGTCTCCTAGCTGCCAGATCCAACAAACATTTTTGGAGTTTTTTTTCAGCCAGTCTGTAAGATCTGATACTTCTCTCCTTGAAATACCCTCCTTTCCTGATTCTTAGGATTCATATGTATTGACTCTGATTCAATGTGTGCTACTATGAGCAGCCACTGTGCTAGCTGCTGACCTCACCCTGAGTTCAAAACCTAGTGAGGAACACAAAGAAGTAACCAGACTGTCATAAAATTTGTGATAAGAACAATAAAGAGGTGGAAATATCAAGTGCTAGAACAGAGAGTTCTAGGGAAGAGTTCTAGAGAAAGACGCACCTAAAATCAAACCTGGAGCACAGAGGGGAGGTAACCAGATTAAAAGAGTAAAGTAGGGCTGGACAGGGGAACAGGGCATGTTTTGAGTAGAGACATCAGATCCAAAGACTCAAACAGGAGATGAGAAAGGATACAGCACTTTCTGATTTACTATGTCTGTGGTACAGCTTCTGAGAAAGGAAGGCTAGAGAATTGAGGCTGGAGAGCATGTCCCAGGCATCCTTTTTTAATCCCTTTCTAACTATTCCAGATTACCTGGGGTTACCTTATCTTTTCCCAGTTTTAAGACTACGGCGATATCTACAATCTCTCTAGGTCTCTCTCCTAAACTCCAGGTACTGGTTATCCAAAAGTAATTTCTGCTTCGACAGTTCACAGGCACGTCCAGTTCAACACGTCCAAAAGTTCTGCCACTGCTCCCTGCAACCCTGCTGAAAAAACTGAACTGGCCACACCACCTGTTTAGTCATCTCGGAAGTTCTTGATCTCTGTCTCTGCTGCCTGAGTTAAAAGTCTTCAAACACTTTCCCGATTTAGAAATAACTGATTTAATTAACATTCAGACCCAAGGGAGGGAACCCCAGGGAGGGAAATGGATACACTTCTGCCAGCTGAACAAGAGCAAACAATCGGAATTAAAGAGGAGAGGGGAGGGGAAATAAAGACTGAATTTTTCCTTTCCTTTTCTCAGCCTTACACAACCAGACTCACTGGAGGCCTGCTACATGCTCGGACAAAAGAAATGTAGTCGTTTGTGGATTCCCCAAGAAACTTATAGTTTAGCTTTCTGAGCGCGCCAGCAGTGTCCGCCCTTTGCCGAGCCCGGATCGCACCTCCAACCGTGCTCTTCTTAAACCTCCCTTTACTAGGACACGAAGCCAGCAACCCGCTCAACAGCAGACAGGGCTCGCCCCTTCTCCAGACCTCAGGGTTTCAGGTAGCGCCTTCCCACGGATAAGGGCCTAGGCCTCTGCTGTCCTCCTCGCTCACCTTCTCTCTCCCACCCTCCGTATTCCTACACGATGGGCTCTGACCATCCTATGCTTCGGCCGTCTTTGCCCACGAAACATTGTCCCTTGTCAATACGGTTCTCTGCTCAACTCCTATTCATCCTTCAGTACCCTCCTCGGATGCCCTTCCCCACCGCACGCCCCGCCGCGCATACAAACAAATCTTCCTTTTTCTTTTTGTAGAACTCTGGTCACTCTGCCACCCTGTGTTGTGACCACTGTTCCCGGACGGCTGAGGGCCGTGCCCTGTTCCGTCACTGAGGGATTTCACCCATTTCCACCCGCACACGCGCCCGCGGCCAGACCCTCTATCCTGACTTCCATCCAGACCTCCACCCGCGGGTGCTAGCCGCGCCCCCTCTATCCGGGCCCCTCACCTAGACGCCGCACGGTCTGCCGCCACTGCCGCCGCCTCCGCCGCCGCCGCCGCCTCGCGAGCTCGGCTAGGCTCTAGCCGCTCCAGGGGTAGCCAGTTCCTCCCGCCGTTATTGGCTTGTGAGTGCCCTGCCCCGCCTTCCCGGCGCTGTGATTGGTCCGTGCGGCTGACGGCGTCGTGTGACTCAAGAGAACGGAGCACTGGCTGCGAGGCCATTGGCTGCGCGGATGGAGTGAGGATCGTGAGAGCTAGGCGTCCGGCCAGTAGCAGCGCCGAGGCGCCTATGGGCGGGAGCGCGCGGCCTGCAGAGGAGGACGGACGTGAGACCGCGAGGTGTCGCCTAGCAACCTCGGCTCCGCCCCCAGGCTCCTGCGCGATCCGGGAGGCTGTGGAGCGTTGGTTCTTCGGTCGCCGCGCTCGCTGTGTTCACAGATCACCCTTCCTGCTGGCGCGCCCCGGGTTTAAACCACCCTCTTTCCGGTCTGCAGCCCTAGTACCTCTTGATAACCTCTACCTGTACATGGGACTTGGGGAACTTCAAATGCAGCCCGCCTCCACTTGCGGACGGGAAGCCGAGGCTCCGGGTTAGGAGAGCCTGGACGGGGCAGCACACTTGGAGCTGGGCTTGGCCGCCTCCCGCCCTGGGGTGTGCACGGATGGGAGTCACATACGAATTTAAGCTTTCGCTTAAGAGGGTACCACTCGGTCTAGTTGAAGGCACTTTATATATACAGGATTCTGTCGTTTCTCAGGGCTGTGCTAAGACTGGCTCTCCTGCCTGCAATAAGGGGCCAGCAGCTCCTCCCTCACCCATCGATTCAGGTACCCTCTGCTTTAGGAAGCCCCTGCTTTAAGGATGTGTCTCGTAAGGTCCAGTGACCTCTACCCATTCGTCTGTCCCATTTGTTTGACACCCACTTTCTTTATAAAGTATCATGACAGGAAAGCCACTCCTTTGCTTGGCCAGCCTGGCTCTAGACACCCGCCCATACTGGCTGGGGTCCTGGATGTGACCGTGCCGCAGCCCACTTTTCCCTCTGCCCAAACCTGCTGCCCTCCGTCAAGCAGTGTTAAGAGCTTGCACTACGGGGTCAGACCTGCCAGGCTTTGTCACTCAGCAGTTTGCTCTTAGATAACTTACTTCTCTAAGTTTTATCTAGGACCTCTGTAAAACAGGTATTATAATGAAGTTTGTTGTGACAATAATATGATCGTGTATGTGCCCTTTGCACGGTGTCTGAAATACAGGAAGTGCTCAATAATACTACGTTGATTATTCTGACGTAGAATCCTACCACAGTAGATACATTTTTTATACCAGAGCAGGTGTATGTATGTGAAGGGGTCAAATTATTTAAAATCTCAAAGATTTAGAGCTGAGAGGAAATAGATATGGCTGCAAAACTACAGAAATAAGCTCAACTCACTTATTTCCTTACAATGAAGAAATGGTTCAGTGAACTGCAACAATAGTGGTAATTTACAGAGGGTCTTCTGTATTTCAAGCACACTAACATACATCATTCTGTTCAAACTCCTCAATAACCTTGCAAGTGACAGAGACACTACTGTTGCCATTTTAGAGAAGACAAAGTAAGGGTCAAAGATGAAAAAAATGTGTTTAAAGTCACAGCTAGCAATTGACAGAGGGGGAGGCAAACTCAAGAGCCATCTGATTCATAGATTGAACTGCTTTTCCCCTTGGAGTCCTGAAAGCCAGAAACTTGATTCAAAGTGTGATTCCATTTTCCCACGTAGCCCCCTCTCCAAAATGAGACACTGGCAGCCAGACAAGTCAGTAGGAGGCAATTTGCTCAAGTCCACACTTGAAAGAAAAGGCAGGCTTATCAGCACATCGCTGTGTTATGTTATTCTACCCTTATGCTAATAAAAGTCTCATAACTCATCAGCAGCTGAGATTATAAATACCAGGGTCCTCATGCTGTCTTATAAGGGGTGATAATTATAAAAAAACAGGAATCATCTGCCAGAGTCCATAAGGAACAAGAGGGGAACTGAAAGTAGACACACCATCCACCTTAACTCCATCTCTGCTTTCAATCAAGAAGTTGCAGAGCCAAGTGAGGCAGGCAGCAGAGTTGCTTCACAGTACACACAGATTTAGCCTTGAACTTTGTTCACACTGCATGCTGTGTCCCTGACAGGATTTCTAAGACTTCTGACCTCTCTATTTTTGTACAATAATAGAACAAACCAGGAACACTTTTATATGCCTGAAAGTGTGTATTCGGAGGGTATATATTCAAAGCCTCTGAAATCTCAGTTATGAATCTAGCTACTGACAAACCCTGGCAAGCTGTTTTATGGTACAGCGGTCAAATCTTCAAAGAAAGAAAAGACAAAGAGGTATCCGATGTGCTAAGTATTTAAGACTTGGTTACTCTAAGAGATTGTATTTTAAGAAAGTCTTCAAAAAATTTTAGATAAATCTTTAATTGACAGATTCATGGAGAATTTCATGGAACATTAGTATTTAAAAGTGATTAGGAAAAGTAATGATACATTTTTCTTGGTGCCACTGTCAGAAGCAGCTAGCAGTGCTCCAAGTTTATTAGATCTTCAACATGTTTGCTGAGAATGGGTGTACCTGGAGCCACGCTAATGCAGAAATTCATGCTTTCATACGGTGAACACAGGCTTTTTCTTTTTGATTAAATTCTTTATATTTCCACTTATAATGGAATTATATATATATATGGCATTAAATATATTCTATGTTTAAATGTGAATACACTAGCTAAACAGAATTTTGCTACAGGTATAATTCTTTCCTCTTGATTATCGACTATTCTGGCAACAGCTCACGCCTAGCTGTTAAATTCCTGAGGACCAGCCACCACATCCCCTCACCCCTCTCATGTCCAGCCCCTCAGCTGGCCACCTCACCCCTATTTCCTTAATTCTTTTTATTTGGTATCAAAACGGTAATTTATTTCTCAGTTGCTTTACAGTAGGTATTTCCACTTTGACTTTCCTTTTGGCCCATGCTAGTTGTTTTATTTTGTGTCCTGCCCATATCAGGGATAGAAGAACACAATAACTTTAAATTTCACCAGTCCTTGGGAGACTTCTGCCTTGATGTTGAGGTAGCTGCTTCTTGGAAAACAGTTTTCAGTGCCTTCAGTTACTGATTTAACAGACTTGCCTTGTAGGTTACTTGAGCAACAAATTCAAAATATTGATTTATGAAGTTAGCAAATGCAAATTTTATAAAAGAACACAAAAAGTGAGCAGGCAACTAAATAGATAAAAATCAAGGACAACGTGAAACAAATAATATACAAACTTTTATTCAAAGTTAATTCAAGAAAGACATGTTTTGGTCATTTTTAAAGTGAGATTAACTGAACATCTCAGAAAAACTGTATCTGATCAACGCACATAGCTACTGACAGAAAGTTCTCTCTTCTGTTAATAGCAGCTAAATTTATACACACAGAAAAAATTCTTAAGACCATGCAAATTCAGTTGAATTCCATACATTCATTGTATTCATCAAAAACCTGCAGTAATGTTCATGCCGAAGTGTTACTTTAAGAAAAAAATTAAAAATACACACCAAAACATGACCAAGATTAAACCAAAGAAAATAATAAATAAGCATAATTTATATTTTAAAAAAGTTTGGCATCACACATGTATTCAAGTGTGTCACACCGTGTTCATTCCTCAGAAGTGGCATTTTAAAGTGTTAAGCATTGTTAAATATCAAAAAATACAACTCTGTTTTACAATGTAGTACTGGCATAATTCAAAGTACTGTGCCAATTATAAATAGTATAATCAAGTTTCAAACATCTTTTCAAACATATTTAAAGGAAAGCATATAGACACACATTTATATGCACACAAATTATACTCATGTAATCAAACATTTTATAAAAGCAAACAGTTTTATCCCTCAATTAGTTTGTATACGTACATAAGATTTTAATACCTGTTCAAAGATTTTCAGTTCTTGTGTATATAGATTTTCAAGAGAAGGAATAAAGAGGAAATTTAGTTTTACAAGAACACATATTACTTTATCCCCCTTCAAAAGATAATCCATAGTCATTCAAGGTGGATTAACTAGTCTTTATGAAAGCAACTGTTGTCCAAAGACTGCAGAACAATCCTGCAGTCCAAGTTTCTTATTAAAATTCAGTCAGCTGCTGCTCATTGCAGAGAAAGCCTACGCGGTGCATCTACCAAAAATAATCTTCAGTATCTGAGGCCTATAAAGGCAGATGATCTTACCTTCTGCGGAGACTCACAGTGCAGCTACAAGTGGAGAAGTGCTCGACTCTCAGTCACTTCAGAAGTACTTGTTGAAGCCTGCTTCTCATGTGTAAATATGCCGAAAATGTCCTTCGGGCTCATAATGGTTTATCAATAACTGTGACTCCTGAACAAAGAAATGAAGAAATAAGACAGAAGTCACAGGAAGCATTCTGTATCTCTGAGAAAATACGGAATTTTTTATTCTATTACTTAAGTAACAGGGGCTGAACAGATCATGATGTTTCAAAATCTCTTTCTTTTGCCCTACTATCATTTTCATCTAAACGACAATGAAATCTTTGTTTAAAAATCATGGCCCAAAACTACATCGGACTATTTGAACTAGTCTCTTGTTCTTCACAGTTACAATTAAGGGAAAACAATTTCACTCAGGAAATACTAAAATCTACCTAATACTCAAAGGGGTACAAAGAAACTTTTGAGAATGATGAATATTTTCATTATGTTGATTGTGGTGGTGGTTTCATGGTTATGTACATATGTCAAAACTAATAAAACTGTTCACTTTAAATATATGCTACTTATTCTGTGTCAATTATATCTCAATGAAGCTGTTTTAAAAAATTCACATAATTTTTAGAAATGCTATTCTGGGATCCTACTGTATATATTCTACTAGGTGCTGTTTTGGATGATACATAAAGAACAGTGATGGCTAATTAGTATAAACTTCTTTTTTCTCCACTGTTGGATCAATATTAGAATGTCACTGAAACATTCTAATATTAAAGCAATATAAATATGTACCATGAGAATAATGAATAAGCAACTTACAATTTTAAAGACTCAGCGTTGTATTTATTAGGAGTATTATCATTTCTC